CCCTGCTGCTCCGGCTGCTGTGGGGGCTGCTGCAGCACCCCCGTGGTCTGCTGCCACCGCCGCACCTGCCGCCGCCACTCGTGTGACTGCGGCTGCGGCTGCGGGGAGGGCTGCTGCCAGCAGAGGTGCTGCCAGCAGAAGTGCTGCTGCAGGAAGCAGTGCTGCCACTAGGGGGCCGGTCGGCAGGTGCTGCTGGTTCCCGCTCGGTTGGTAAGACTTCCTTCTTCCCTTTCTGCCTGTTCGGCCCCCTCTCTATGGTCCTGGACTCCCTTCCTGACTTCCTTTGGTACCTCAAGTCTTTCCATCTGGAAAGTTTCCAGACCAATAGGAAATATCTAATGGAAAAAACAGGTATGTAGCCCAGGACCCGGGGAATTGCGCAAATCAGTAAACTCGGTTGGACGAAATCATGATTCCTCACGGTTGGTTTGACGGTATCAGTACATCTAATTCGCTGCTGTTTGCTTCCATCTTTGCTCCATTTCTCCCATCCGCATTCATGGTTTCCTTTTTCTCCTTTTGTGTTCTTGGTTGTCACATGATATCGTCCAAATTTTCTAATAAAACAAAGGCTAAATACCCATAAGAAAACATTCTTTCTGTCTTTGTTGTGTTTGAGCACACGGAATCCTGGTTTCTGTTCTGAAACTTTAAGAGAGAACTTACCTCTGAACAAAGCCTTTTAAAACCCTCGCAGGGGTAGCACCACAAGGGAAGGTCGTGTAAGAAGCTCTGCCAGGTCTGAGGGGGTGGGGTGGGGTGGGGGGCAACCTCTCCTTCAGTGAAACACGGCTTTGCCTCAGGGACTCCTCCCTCCCTCACATCCCAGTGTGTAGACTCCTCCCTGATTTATTGATGCAACACTGCACGCACGTCCCTTCAGCTGCTGCCTCACAATGCGGGGACCATCAAAGAGAAAATCTGTGAATTGTAAAATAGATATGAAGTGTTCACTCAGCCGACTTCAGGAAGAGAGGCCTCAGAGAGAGACTGAAGTCATTTTTCTCAACAGACTATCTAATCAGAGAAGAAAAGTTTTGAAAACATTCCCAATGGAGCCGCCTCCAGTGGCCAAGCGTTTCTTCCCATTACCCCCAAACTTGTTCACCTTGGACTTCAGTTCGAGGTACCCTGGGTGGATTAAGTTTCAGGCATCTTTTACTCTTGGGTGGATTAATTTGGGGGAAGCTTTTACTCTTAGTAGAAGTAAACATCAGACTCCAAATTATTACATAGCAATTGATTTCCCTTAGAACTGTTTTCCCTTAGAACTGTTAGTGAATATTGAGTTGCTTACAATTAACTACAGCATCTCTGCTTAGACAGATCAAGTAAGAGTTTAGTAGCCTGTGCATCCATTTCTTACTGTTGGTGTGGAGATAGTTTTAGTGGTCTGGACAGAAGGTCAGTCCAGCCACATCATCTCTTTAAGCCAAGCCTAATCCAGATCAAAGTCCCAACTTGTCTTCAATTCTCTGAAGATTGAGAGAGGTGAGGAAGCTACAGAAGACAAGTTTGAAGAGAGCAGAGGTTGGTTCATGAGGCTTAAGGAAAGAAGCTGTCTTCATGACATAAGAGAACAAGTGAGTAGCGCGTACCAATGTAGAGGCTGCAGAAAGCTGACCAGAAGATCTAGCTAAGATAGTGAGTAAAGGTGGAAACACTAAACAATAGATTTTCATTGCAGACAAAACAGCCTTCTTTTGGAAGAAGATGCCATCTGGGACATTTCTAGCTAGAGAGGAGAAGTCAATGTCTGGCCTCAAAGCTCCAAAGGACAGGCTGATTCTCTTGTTAGGGGCCAATGCAGCTGGTGACTTTAAGTCGAAGCCAATGGTCATTTATCATGCCAAAAGCCCTAGGACTCTCCAGAATTATGCTAAATTGACTCTGCCTGTGCTCTACCAATGAAACAACACTGTGTGGGTGACAGGACATCTGTTTACGCCATGGCTTACTGAATATTTTAAACCCACTGTTGAGACCTACTGCTCAGGAAGAAAGATTCCTTTCAAAATACGACTGTTTATCGACAGTGCACCTGGCCACCCAAGAGCTCTGACGGAGCTGTACAATCAGATTAATGCTGTTTTCATGCCTGCTAACACAACACCTGTTCTGCAGCCCATAAATGAAGGAACGATTTTGACTTTCAAGTCTTATTATCTAAGAAATACATTTTATAAGGCTATATATAGCTGCCACAGATAGTGATTCCTCTGACAGATCTGGGCAAAATAAATAGAAAAAAAAGATGCTAGAAAAGATTCATCATTAGATACCGTTAAGAACATTCATGCAACATTAACAGAAATTTGAAAGAAAGTGACTCCAATCCTCATGGATGACTTGGAGGAGTTCAAGACGTCAGTGGAGGAGATAACGACAGATGTGGTGGAAATAGCAAGAGAATTAGAATCGGAAGTGGAGCCTGAAGATGTGACTGAATTGCTGCAGTCTCATGATAAAACTTTAACGGATGAGGAGTTGCTTCTTACGCATGAGCAAAGAATGTGGTTTCCTGAGGTGGAATCTACCCTTGGTGAAGATGCTGTGAAGATCGCTGAAATGACAACAAAAGATTTAGAAAATTTTGTAAATTAAGTTGATAAAGTAGTGGTAGAGTGTGAGATTAACTCCAATTTTGAAAGATGTTCTATGGTGGGTAAAATGCTATCAAACACCATCGCACATTTAAGAGAAATTGTTCATAAAAGAAGAGTTAGTAGATATGGCAAACTTCATTGTTGTCTTATTTTAAGAAATTGCCACAGCCCCCACAGCCTTCAACAACCACCACCTTGGTCAGTTAGCAGCCATCAACCTCAATGCCAAAAGACTACCACTCACTAAAGGCTCAGATGATGGTTAGCATTTTTTAGCAATAAAATATTTTTTAATTAAGGTGTGTGGAGATATATGGTACAATATAGGGAACATATCAAATATTTTACAATAACTATATATGGAATAGAACATTTAAAAATTATAAATTTCTATATACCTGTAACCTATATAATATTGTATCTTAACTATACTTCAATAAAAAATTAAGGTATGTACATTGTTTTTAAGACCTATCGCTGTTGCACATTTAATAGAACACAGTATAGTGTAAACATAACTTACGTAAACTGGGAAACAAAAAAATATGTGTTTCACTTTACTGCTATATTCACTCTACTGGGGAGGTGTAGAACTAAACCTGCAATATCCAAGGCAAGCCTACAGTACCAGTATAATGATTGTTACCACCCATTGATTGCTAATCGGTATCAGGCCTGTGCTGTGTATTTCTTTATCTATTACCCAATTCAAAAGAATCACGCTTTTATGTGGTAGGGCACAGAAAGCTATTGTATACAATTTGCTCCAGGATATTTCATGTTTCTGCTCTTGGATGATCCCAGTTGTCTGATTTCCAATTATTTTGGGGGAGAACTTGAAAGTGTTGAAATAGTATTTGGGGTCCCAGTTATTATTTGAGGCCATATAAATGGCTTATTTCAGTTCAGTTAACTCCATCTTTCAATTATACTGACTGCTCAATAGCTGAGTTTTGAATGTAGTATTGATGAGGTTTATGACGGGCCTGTCTTTCATGGGATCTTAATCTAAGACAAAACATTAAAAACCATACATTTCAGCACCATATATTTTCAGGTAGCCCATCTTCTGAGTCCACAGTAGGAGGGACCAGACTAAAACTATGTTGCTGTGCTCGCACAGTTGAAGCCACTGCTTCATTTAGATTCTGGCCAGAAGTAGAACTATATTTTCCCCTTCTGTATTTGGCTGAACAGATTATTTAAATGCTTCTCATTAGAAAAATTCCAGCCATGACAGAAAAATAACTTTCATAAACTAAAAACTAAAAAAAAAGAAAAAGAAAAAGGAAAAGACATTAATGAATTACATAAATCTGACACTGAGGATATATAGTGATGCTTTCCTAGTAGCTGAGAGACCTGATTCTCTCTTTGTCTTGGTTTTCTCACTTGTAAAATTAGAATAATAACAATATCTACTTACACATTTGAGGATTAAATGAGTTATTATATATAAGGCATATATGTTTATACATTCTAAAGCTATAACCACATCATTATACATAATAAATGTAGTCATAATATATATAACTATATAGTAGTGTAGTAGTATATATATGCTACTACACTATGTACACTGTATGCTATATAGTATATATACCACATGTATTGCATGCTATATACTGTATGCACTATAGTATATAGTACATATATAGTGCACATATGCTAACTTCCTTCTTGCTTTTCTTTTATATATCACATTTTGTATATGAAATTGGGAGTTTATTTTTTTCCTAGAATGTAATATACTTGAAAAAAATTGCAATGTTTCTGTCTAGAAATATTAAAATTATATTAATGATGTATAAAAGTTTAGAATTCATATATATTTTGAATGAATTTATTGAACACTTAATCATTCTAATGACTCTCTATACATCTAGATC